TATAAGGTAAGGCAACGGTAGCTCCTTGTGAACAGCTTGGCAACTTGTTTCTGCCCTGTAACGACATTAGCCGGTAAGGCCTGCGATCTTCGTAAGACCCCATGTCCAAGAGCGTACAGGCTTACGGCTCACGGATCAGCCCGACCCACGGCAGTCTAGGCACTCTGCAGCGGCACCAGTGCGCTCCACCTTGGACAATGCTTTGAGCGGTCGGAGGTGTTTCAATATGCACTTTGCGCTTTGCGCTGTGGGGTACATGGCATGGGAGTAGACATATAGACTATAGACATAATTCATAGGTCATAGGCCTGGTTCCAAACAAAGCCGCTCACTGGTCACCGGTCCGAGGAGCTGAGAGTGGATCTTCCATCGCTTCCTGGAACAAGGCACAAGCAGCTGGTCCGACGGACCGAAGCAAAGCGACTCACCATATCTCACCCATTGAGCATTCTCAGATCCACATGCATCCCATTGCATCCCCGTCAACCGACCCCACTAGAGTCACCAAAGTTTCAAAGGCAGTATGGACCCTACTTCAGCTAACCAAACCACCTTGAGCATGAACAGTTTCTGCCTTGTGTAGAACTCAATCGCTGTGAAGTTTCATGGGGGAACCTACTAATTGTAGGGTGCGACTCTTTGGCGGGTTCTTCACATTTACTTGCCGAAGGTGGACTGGCTTCATGGGCATTGGATGGGAGGCCTGCGCACCAGCATTTCAGGAATTGCAGGACTTGAGAGAACAACTCAAAGACAACAGAAAATCTGGCTTTCTTGGGGCCGGCTTCTTGTAATATAAGGCGCAGACAAGTTTCATCTGATGGGTTGGTTTGCATGGCAAACAGCTTGCTTCCATGTTGCACTGGTGCAAACGGCGTCTTTTAGGTCCCCTCCCCTGCACAGAACACACGAGTGAAAAAGCAAAGCTCCGACAAGTCGTGCAGTCCTCGTCCCAGCAATGAAGTGCCACATGCGGAGGCTGCCTTAGGCACTTCGCCGTGAACAAAAACAAGATGCTCCTGCAATTCGATGTCGCACAACGATAGTCAGAATATGCTACCTGCTCGAACTGACCTTCCTCCTGTTAAAAGGCGCCTGAACCAATGACAACTGTGTCGTATGTAGCGGGGTCATTAGTCACGAGTCGATTTTGGAAGCCAAAAGGTAAAAGCTAATATTGCGCAGCGTTAAGTAGCACTTGTGTTGTGTCCGCGAAAAGGCCATGTGGCTGTGTTGGATCTTGACCAGCACTGAGCCCTATAACACACTGACGCCGGTGAACCAAACACCCCCCAAGCACTCGAAATCCGAGCTGCGCTCCCTCGGCACTCACCTTGTAGGTGGAAAGCCGGCCCTGACAAGAAGCTGGGAGAGGTGTGAACCAAAACGAGTGGCGGTCCGAGCCTTTTAGGCTCTAAGCCTCCAAGACCTCAGCCTTTGATCGCAAACCATATTGGAGTACGAACGCATCAGCAGGACTGCTGAAGATGGTGGCACAGAGTGGCCAGGTTCGCTTGTCCAGGGAGATCCCTGCACTTGGGACCGTAGCACATCCATAGGGCTACACTAGTCCCGCAACCCCTCTGCCTGACGCCTACACACCTCAAACCCTGAACCTGAGAATCCCCGTGCCTAAACTCGTTAGAACTTAGAAGAGACAAAGCCACGATCACTGGGCCTCGCCGCTCTTGCACTGCACTGTGATGCGCGAAGGGTCGATGCCAGTCCACTCTGGCCTGTAGGACAGTTCAAGGGGTTGTGTTTTCCCGCCCGCCCAAGCACGGTTTTTGCCACCCTCCAAGCAGACTCCCCATACTGCAGGGATTTTAGGGTTTAGGGGTTAGGGACAAACCCTCTTTTTGTTTTTTGCACTTCGGAAATTTCGGAGGTGTGATCAGCTCAAATAAGCTCTCACAAGTTGCAAATTGAGCGTGCGAACCAAAATCGACCGACTTCAAAGCGCTGCTGCAATGAGCACGGAACCCGTTTTTTCGGATGCACGGAATTCTCACACAGGCTTCCGAGTGGCACCACGTTGGCCATCATCACTGCCAGCTTGTCTTCCTCATTGGCACCAGCAATGACTCCACAAAAGCTTGAGACCCTTCAGACATTCGCCTAGGGCCCTGCATCGACGTATCGAACATCCCGTTTGGGCGAGGGTTAGTTAACCCACTCCCCTGGCGCAAAGTTCTTCCCACTTCTGCTCAAGTGCTAAAGTTGACCAAGTTGACCTTCGCACCATGATACAGAGTGCAATGCTTTCATCTCCAGTCCTCCCTCTCCCCTGAAGCCTGAAGCATGCCTAGCAAGGCCTCACAGAACCCGCCTACTGGTAACCCAAACCCCAAAGGGGTCCGAAGTACCTACATGGTAGAAGGTAGGGTTTCGAAAATAGGAATTACTATTCTGGTTTGGGTAAGTATCCCCCATATAGGTACTTAGGCCCCTTTGAAAACAAAGCCAGTTCAAGCCCAAGAATAGACGTTGTTCCGACTGCTCCGTCGCCGTCCATCCACGGACCAGTTTCGGTGGGCGAGGTGCCTTGACTTGGCCAGGGTATATGCAGGGTTCCTCAAGTGAAGGTCACCTTCTTGAAGTTGGCTCCCCTGAAAAACATGGCCCCGAGTGAAAAGCAGGAACCCCAAAAGCGTAACATTATTTTAGAGAACTAGATATTTAGTGGCGAAGGGCGCTCTCTCACCCACCGGGATCAGCAACTGGCTGTAGGATTGCGCTTTCTTCATGGCTTCAACTTCATTATTCATCAGAAATTGATAAGTTTGATAACACAGAGCATTCCGAGCTGGCTTCTTTGAACTATTTGAGAGATGTGGTAGCTGGAGATGCCTAGTAGAGAACTCCTTTCCCATTGCAGTGGAAAGCACAGCCTTCTGAGAGCTTGTTCGAAAGGAGTCCGTCCTCCTGCCAAGCACTCATGGCGCCGTCCGGGTATGACTTCAGAATGCACCTCCCCCAAAAGCAAGACTTCGACACAAGGTATGCTGGAAGCCCACATCAACTGTCACCCAGATCCCTTGCAGTGTCATGAAGAGACGCTCGCTTTCCATGGACCGGGTCCTGAAGGGGCTCAGCTTTCCCGGTACCTCGAGGTGATTTGCTCTGAACAGTCGTGTTGCTTATGGCAGAGCCCTGTAACAACTGAGCCCAGGCACATACAGACTCGTGCCCCCACCGTTGTACCTTTAAAGGGTTCTTTGAAAGTGAACTCCCAATAGGGCCCCTGCATTCCTCAAGGGGTTCATCAAAAGGGGCCCCCAACCTCATGGGTACAATGTCCAAGGTAGGTTGTCTTGGGTGTTAAGAGGCGCCCACCCTACCGTCAGCATTCGATCACATATCGCACGAAAATAACTTTAAGCAAACTGAAAGATGGGTAGCAGAACATAAGGCGTATCGCGTATCGTGGCTGAGGCTGGTGCCACCTCTACTTCAAGGACAACCTTCAAAGTCTGGCAGCTTGGTACATTCTATAAGGCTGCATACTTCTTATTCCAGGTCCCCTCAGCCTGTTGCGCTGAATAGTGGTGAGCCCATGAGCCCTAGCGATGCCCTAACAAATCAAGTTAATGAAAATCCTCCTCCCTTTTTCACCTCCAAGTTGCGGCGTCCGCTGCCTCGTCGCTCTCATGGTGGTGGTGTAGCTCTTCGCCTAGACAACAATTTCAAGTACAGTAGCCATGGATGTTTGAACAAGACCTCCATCGATATCCAATCCGCATCGGTATCGGACCGAAAGGTATCACCAGGCGCGACGCCATTTCGACGAAGTCGCTTGTTGTTGTGAGGCATGTCATGAAGGCTTGTCCCCGCAATAGTGGCCCTACCAGTCGCATGCTGCCAAGTCAGTCTGCTGACCGCCACTGCACACATCTTAAGCATTGGCCTTTCAGCGCTCTGCAGCAGCAATTGATGACAATGGACTGACCAAAGCAATCTGGTTTCCCGACCACTGTGCAGAGTCAGGTATTGCAAGGCAGCCTGCACGGTTTTGCATTGCCGACGTGCGTGTCCTACTCAGGCTTCGGGCCGGTCTCGAATATTCAGAGCAAACAGTGCTCCTGCTCCCATTCCAAGACCCAAGCGGCATTGCTTCATGGTCATGTCAGGATGGTTTGCATCCTTGCCGGTGTTGCCCCTTTTCATTTCTTGATCTGGGGGGGGGGGGGTGCGGGGGGCCCTTTCATTGCAGGTCCGAACCTGGAATACACGCACATACCAAAGCCATGCACCAAAACCCTCATTTCGACCCCAGCGACCTGCAGCTGGGGCGCTCCCTTCACGCTGCGGCTCGTCAGTGTTGCCCAGCTTGTGGCAGGCGGCGCCCATGGCCACACTTGGGACGGGCGCCTAAACAACTTAGCCTACGACATGAACCCTACAAGGGCTTACAAGTAGGGTATTCAGGGTATGTGGCAAGTTGTGCACGTGGGTCGGGAATCCGGGAATCCCCTATTGACCCACTCCACCTAGAAGCCCAACTTCCACAAATTGTTAGGGTCAGGGGATTGGGTGTCATACGCAATGCCGCGCATCTTTCAAAAGGGCAGGCTCTGGAGCCCATGCGCATGTTCGCAAAGCATGCGGAAACTTTGGGAAGTTTAGGATCAGGAACAGATGTTGAGTTGAGCTTCCGCAAATGATGTCTTCTTTTTTTGGGGGGGATATCTCTATATATATATATATATACACACATGTATATATTGTATCTGGCTTTTTCGCGACCTCGTGCTCCCAAAATCTCACACCACTTTGCACAAGGTAGCTGCATGTTGTTGGAGCGAAGGAGTGTTAAGCGAATGAACTGGAGAGAGGAGCTCTTTTCGTTCTGGGCAATGCAATCCTCGCGCACCCGCCTCAGATGGAGGATGCACTAGGACTCTCCTGGAAAGCGTCAGTTTGCAACTGGGCCTCATAGCTGCCAGGATGTGTGCCATGCTCTGTATAACCCTACAAACCACTCGGTCGCTGGCCTTGCTTTAGCCGATGCTGCAGGCCACGTCCAGAGCTCCACCCGTGCAGCCCCAATACGGAGAGATGTGCTTTCCTGAGGCACACAAGCTCCCAAAACTTCAATCGGACGAGTTGGGCAAGGCTTTAGGATAGGCCCCCTGGGCCTCGCCCAGGACCGTTCCCCTAAGCCAATATACCACGGCCATGACCGGAAACATGCTCCCCCAGATCTTGGCGCAACGCAGGCCCCAAGTGGCAACACATGACGAAACTCTCTCTCTCTCCTCCCTGGGCCAAAGGGCTCACAAAGGTGACATTGCCCTTCTCGTCGCACAGGCCTGGGATTCGATGCATCCCTGAGCCCAAAGCTCGAAAAGCCTCGAAAAAGAGTCCCACTGGGGAAGGGGAAGTTGGCGGGAATTCCGGAAGGTTTACGAGAGTATGGGTGCTGGGGCTGATATGAATAGTAGGTATACGGTATACCTGCAGTGAATTGTGGGAAGCAGGACGGGACCGGCACTTTAATCTCGAAGCAACCGGGGTGCACTCCATCATCTCGCAATTGTCCGCACCTTGGCCGCAAAGGGCGTTGATGACCTGGAGACATCGATGGCTCGATGAGTCAAGAAGGCACGGGGGGTGGCACATTTGGTCTGTTGATGCTACCCCTGTCTGTGTGTGTGTGTGTGTCTGTGCGCATGCATGGCTGGCTTTCTGCTCTCGCCCCCTGCTTCTATAGTTCTTCTTCCAACTTCTCAACGCAACACCGACACCTCGAGCCGCAGGCTAACTGCCCAGGACAAGCAAACATCCTACGTTACCTCGCAGGGGAGTTTAGGGTTTAGGGTAAAGGGTTCATAGTTTAGGGTTTAGGGTTTATAGTTTAGGGTGTAGGGTCTCAGTCAAGTGACGCCCCAGTGCGTAACCACGGCAATCGTCCTCTCTGGTCGACTCGCAAGCACCGTCCGGAACTCACGGATGCTCTCCGCCTCACTGGAGGAGCTTATAAAATTTTAGGGGTGCAAGAGCACGGGTGACAAGACAACCTAAACTTAAGTAGAACATAGCGCAATTGGCAATTGAAGACCGTTAGGGAGTACCACTATGATCACTAAACTCCAATACTAGGGAACAGGGTGCAGGCGATGTCGTGCCTCGGTGACCTAAGCAGGCCATGGTCCCAATTTGCACCGGCCCCGGAGCATCATGAGATGTCAAGTTAGTGTGTGATGACTGTACATATGAAAGGACAGGCTGGCGTAACAAAGTGGAGCCTTTTTGTTGCTGTATGACAAATTATGACTTGTGCGAGCACTTCGGGAAGGAAAACGACCAAAACGAGATCATGCCCACCCAAAAGCTGCCGCCCCAGCGCACCTCTGTACTGGGACCTTTGATGGCCAAAGCAGCTTTGAGGCCTTGTACCTTACACCAGGCAAGTGTGCTTTGAATGCTTCCTTCGGGACGATGGCAACTCGCAATGCCAACAACACATGGACCTGCTAGCTGCGCACCTCCTGCCCGCGCGGCAGCTGCCGCAGTACTTCAGAGACAGACTCCAGAGTGCCCCTTGGCCGAGCTGTACATGCTTGGGAATTTGGGGCGGGCAGGCTTGCCACAATTCATGTTGTACCTGGCTTGGTGGGGTTCCCGTGTGTAAAGTCAAGCTTGCTGGGCTACTCAGGACACTGTGACTGTTTGGGGGTGCGCGGTGGGATCGTTATTGGTTGGGTCAAATCCTCCGGGTGTCGCAACAAGTTTCATATTTCGTGTGGCGCGCCTTTAAAATCAATTGCCGGGCCTCGCCGTCCCTCTTTAACTCATCTAAACTCCTCCCTCCAAAAAACATATAAAACGCGTGGACCGTTTCAAGAGAGCAAAAACCCAGCTTCGACTGGTCGGCAGGGGGGGAGGGGGTCGGTGGCAAACTAAGCAGGTACAAAATTTTGTGGCGAGAGAAGACCAACACCAAACATGCTGTGGACTGGCCTCCGCAAAGTTCACACGCAATGCTGGCCGTTTCGAGGAGGATGCCGCTCCAAGTACTTGAATTCCGAATCCCTTCACATCGCATACTAAGCGCCCGCGGATGAGAGCTCCCCAAGTAACCTCGCTGCTGTACCCAAGGGGCGGCTGGTTGGCCACATCATCCCACCAAAGCTCCCGCGCTGAGCGGACAACAGTTAGGGGACATTCCTCCTCCTGGACGCTCTGGACCCTTGGGCTTCGGGCATGGTGTACCAGCCCGAGCAGTTCTCAGAGTCAAAGGTTAAAGTATGTTATAATGTCTCAGTCACCATGGCCACACTACAGTCGCAAGCTTGTGTATCTACCATCGGGGGAGTGTAAAGAGCAGCGACGCAGCGTCAAGACTGGAAGTGCAAAGCTGTTCGGATCGGCCCCCCATTCTGGAGATAGCTCCTGCACGTCCTCTAAAAAGAGCGTCATAACCTGTTCTGTCCTGGAAGGCGTAGCACGCTGTCTGAATGGCCCGAGTGAGAGGCGAGATGAGGACAACTTCCTCGACAAATCACGAGAAGTCTGAGCGTAAGCACAAGCAAGCCAGCTATGCACCTCCCAATTTTGACCCCGAAATAGTGGGAATCCCCAAAACAAGGACCCCAGTGAGGTACCCCTAACATCGTAAACCCTCTTATGGGATGAAGAGACCAAGCCCTGGGGTCTCAGTACCTTGCAAACTTCCGAGGTTTTGCATGGAGCCTTCAAAGATCCTCATCGCACTTCGTGGCCAAGATCCCAACTTCAGAACCAAGGTTCGCCCAAATAACCTGGCCTTACCTATTACTTATATATTATTTATTGCTTATTACTTATTACGTATTACTTATTACTTAGAAAGATCCCAGCCCGCCCCCCCCCCCCCCCCACCCTCGGTGCAGCCAGAAGGGCGAAGTCGTACTCCTCCATCCGGTGCTGCCATGCCTCGGGCTCTCTGTGAGTTCTGGGCTTTGCGGGTTTTCAGGTCTGCAAGCCGTCTGTATCAGGAGGCTTCATCTGCTTCAAGTGTTGGGTTCGCGGTTCGCTAGGCCGGACCCATGCTGCCTACATGAGTCTACAGGGTATATGACTGATCCACATTCGGCCTCACGCGATTGTACAGGTTGCACAACAGGGTTCCCCACCTGCAGCGTACGCTGGGGGCATTGCTGCCACAAGCCCCGAGACTTGATACAAGTTTTACGAATGCGCGACCATGCTCTCAGCGCACGTGCAAAGAGCCCTGTAAGCCCAAAGAGCACAATTGGATGGCACATGCTAGGTCCACTCCCTGGTAGCCGCTACAGTGTGAGTCGAAGGTTTGGAAGGTTGAAGGCTTGGGTTTTTGCTTGCTGCAAAGGTGCGTTGGCCTGGCCACGGCCCTGAGCCGTCAAGGGCGCATCTGGCACGTCCTGCTCTTAACGCTGCGCAAACAATTTGCAGAACCAATGCCTCTTCAAAAAAACGACTGTCAACGGGCAGATTTATGTGTGGATCAGCTCTTGGCTTTTGCAATTCCAAGGATCTCAGCCCCCCCGATAAGAAAACAGCAGGTTGAGACACGCCACCATCCCCCCCCCCCCCCCCCCCCCATCGACAAAACGTGCTAGCCTGCGATCTCATTCCTTCGTAATGCGTTATGTTCTTAGTTTAGTGACAATTGCAAGCAGACCTGTGGTTCACCTCGCATGCAACTTGGCGTCCATCCATTCTACAGCCTGAAACTGCTAGTAATTCGCCCCCACGCACGATCCTCATCCGACACATTGTGCTCAGCCTCACCATGGCGCAGCAGGAAAACATGGCGAGCCTGCGGTGTTGGGGTACCGGAAGGGACACTACCTCCGGACTTTACTCCAACCCCGCTTGCCGTGAAGCTGCCCAAGAATCGCCACTTAAGTGCGGGCTTCCGACGAAGCCACTCCCTACACATCCTGACAGCAGTGCATGGGGAGCGACTTTATGTGCCTGACCTGAGTCTTGCCGCAGTTCCCACGACCCTTCTGGTATCGATGCATGCTGTTGTTTTGGCACTGTTGCAGCGCTCACCAGTCTTAACCCTGTTGTGCAGCTGCACCTGGCTTGGCTGCGCCATGGCCAAGGTTTGCAGCAAAGTACTCCAGTATGGAAGTCTTGAGGTGTTTTGGCTTGAGTTGCGATGTCTGAAACACCCAACCATCTTTCAGTCGCATCTGCTGCATCTGCTCCCATGTTTTGCGTGGGTGGAGGGGTGGGGGGAGGGGTCAAAAAGGAGATCTCTTTATCACGACATGGCCCGACGCCTGAAAACCTCAAGCTCCTCAGTAAAAACCTTTACAGCCCTTAAACCCTAAACAATGGATCACTTGAGCCACAGCTGCTGACCAAAAGAAAAACGCGCGTGCAAGGGCACATTCAAGGTGAGGTGGGTCCAACCTTGTTGGGGACGCTGTTCTCTCCCGAAGGGGGTCCATACAGCTACTTTAGGGACTCGGAGCCATGGGCTTCCCTAACGTCAGAGTTACGTTCTTGTCCACCAGACCTTTCTTGGGGTGATAGACGCCGTGGGTGCTGCGCATGCTGGAGACTATGATGTCTCCACAGAGAGGATTTGGGGGCTGGAGTGTTCAGAAGGCAGAGGTTGGTTGCTGCACCTGCAAGTTGGGTTCCTCACCATGGAGGGGGAGGGGGGAGATGAACACACAAAAAGATCTATTTTGGGATCCATACCCGCCCGGTCACAGGTAAGGTTAGCATGGCGTATGGCCTCAACTAAGGCTGTTCAGCAGCTTGATCCCTGGTTGTTGGGGCTTTCGGAGTGAGCCCCCCAACCTTTGGAAGCGGAGTCGCACGGCAAAGTCCTCGGTTGGCCATACAGACGCAGTTTCTATCTAAGGAAGCACGGCCGTTTCGTTGCACATCTGCCTTCCTTCTGCATTTTTGGTTGTGGGTTTCCTTGGACCGACCTTGGGCTTCAAGATTCCAGGTTCCGCAGGGTGTGATATGGGGGTTTCCGAAAATAGGGGTACCCTTTTTTTGAGGTTCCCATCATAAGGACTATACTTTCTTTTTTTTTTTTTTTGGGGGGGGGGGGGGGGGTATATTGCGGATACCGCTATTTTGGGAAATACCCATATCATATCTGGAATGTGAAAGAAGCCTCGGGGCAGGTTTTCCCATCAACCGAAGCAAAAGTTTCCAAAGGCTCTCCAGTCGCCTAAGTCTGCTGGATCCCGGTGTGGTTTCCACTTATTGTAAACATCACTGAATCTTTTCTCCTGGCAGTCTCCTTTCAGCCTGACCATACCAAACAAATGACTTTCGAGCTGTGCTCGGACAACCTTGGAATACTTGGAATCCTCCAGCCACTGTGTCACGTCCACCCTTTGCAGATGAGGCTCACACCCGCGCTGCCGGCTTGACCCGAGAAAAGGCCGGGAGCCGCAAACTTCAAATCTAGGAAAGCCCCTGCACCAAGCTTAAAGGGTGCCGCAATCTTCTGCTACTATGCTGTGGCTGGTGATCGAGCCAGCATGCACTGAGCCCAGGCGGGCGAAGAATGGATGGGCGGCGGTGTCGGGCTTTGATATAGGGCGTTATAGGGTTGATGATTGATGGTTCTGGTCGCTGTGCTTTAGAGATGGCTGCCTCCTCCTGGCTCTCTACATGGGGCCTCCTCAAGGGGTGTGTTAAGGCACAGCACACATTCCTCGAAGCTATCCTAAGCCCACCTTCAAGCTCGAAACCCTTGACCAAAAGCGCTCCAGCTCGCCTTGTCCGCAGTGTCCGCGAAGTGGCCTCTTTCATCCGATCAGGGTATCATCTCAGAAAGGGACTGATGTTGAATGCTTTTGCATGTTTGGACTCAACCCCCAAAGAGGAATCTATGCAAAGCCGCAAAGCAGCTGTGCCAGGAGTGTACGGTTCAAGGGTTGAGTTCTGAGGTTGCGTTTAATCGGCTTGGGCTAAAGGTTCAAAGTCTCATCTCAGGGTTTCAGGGTTCGACAAACTTATTCTGCATTCGTTGGAAGTATCGGGCATCCGCCTGACCAGCCATAAGGTACCTTCCCAGAAGATACCTCGTTTCCTGAGAAGAAGAAATAAGTCTGCATTCTTTCAATTTCGGCCCGAACCGACTAGAATCGCAAGTGAGCATGCAAGAGCGTATTGGGTTCAAAACAGCAGTTTCTTAAGCCACTGAAGCTGCAAAGCAAGCGTAAAGGATGGGATAGCGAGCCTGTAATCTACAGTAGTGGCACAAGCTTCTTTCATACGTCATGTCAGCAGTCGAGGTGGGACTCTGAAGGTGGTCGCCACACTTCGGCGTTTCTCTGAGTCTAACCAACAAGGTATACAGAAAGAAACCCCCAAAGTGTGCCTGCAGATGTCTGTGGTCGGCGGTTGGTGCCTGGTGCTCTGGGCTTCTGAGAAGGAGGACTTGGAAGCCCCCCCTATCTACGCCAATGCTCCTCCCCCCCCTGGAACCGTGCAAGAACCGTGAGAATCAACCCCTAAATCACCCCACGCAAAGCCCCACAACCGAAAAACTTCTGGAAAAGAAGCTCCATCTAAGCGTCTCTTTCCATTCTGAGCCCTAAACCCACAAACATGCTTCCAGAACCCCGACAGTCTCTACCCCCCGGTCGAAGCACAGCTTCTTGCAATGGGGCATTGCATGAGGTGGGGGGGCATTTGGGGTTTAGGGTCTGGGGCTGCCACCTTCCTACTAGCCGTTACTAGCCTCGCAACCACACTGCAGAGGCGTCGAGGGGGAAAAATGTTGACTCCAGAGGCCAGAGGCCCCAAGTCCAGCAAACAACTCATAGTCCAAAGTAACTGCAGTAAGGTCCGAAGGTGTCGGTTTAGGGTTTAGGGCGCACCCTGAGCCGTCTGAGCCCTGCACTTCCGCCTTTGAGTGCGAGAGATAAAGCGAGTGGCTGCAGCCTGAGTTGGACCAAAGGATCCCGAGAGCAAACAGCGTTGCAACATAATGCATCATCTTGGCATTTTTAATGTCACAATACGTATATGTCACAGTATATTCAGTACAATCAGATATGAACATCGTTCGTCTACTCATAATGCCAAAACAAGAAATTTTGGTTTCGCTCCTGTGCTTCTTTGAGACCTCCTGATTGCACTCCTCATTTCCTGGACGTTGCCAAGCCCACCGAGTTCTTCCGAGTTCCCCGAACATCTGACATGACATGTTGTACGAAGCTTTCCTGAACACTGATCAGACTTATCACAACTGACTGCTGAGTACGTCTTTATCTGTACACCTCACCTGTTCCTGAAGCACGCAATCAATGGGTCCCCGACGCAGGATCAGGACCCGAGCTGGTGGGTCGGGCATTTGTCGCCTGCACAGCCCGACACAAGGTGGGATGGTTGGGAAAGGAAGCCGCCACGGACCAGCCGAGGAATTGAAGGACTTTCAAAAGAAGCCGTAAGTTCCCCTAAGCATGCCGTGAACCAATAAACTTGCTCAACCCACTGGAGTCACTAGAGCCTCCTTTGAAAGGCAGAGGGGCTAATTATGTGTGTGCCCATGGCAATGTCGAGGGTCTCTGGCGTCAAAAGGGTGGAGCTGTCAAACACCTTAGAATACAGGATTCGACTCTCACTCTGAGGGTACTTGGCAACTTGATGCCAAGCTCCTTCTTTAGGATCCTCGGGGCACCCCACAGGGAGCTTGGCTCGAGGTTGGGGAGTTCCCTCCTTTGGGCCCCCCTGCCTTGGCCGTTGGCAACCTCGGGCTTCTCAGAGGGGACGTGGTTCTGTTTTGGAGATGAATGTGTGCAAGTAAGATCAGCAGAATCGTTGAGGCCTACTAGGACTACCAGGAATCGTGATCACAAGCATGTAGTCGGACTACGCATACGTGACAGTGGGACGAAAGCTCTGCCACTGCACACCATCTGCTGAGCCGTCTGTGGAAGAAGAACCCCTCTCCCACGTAGAGCTATCTGAGTCTATCCGAGGAAGGATTCCACAAGGCCTCCCCAAATCCCACAAATCATGTAAGCTCCGGTCAACTTCTGGCCATGGCCCAAAACCCTGGTTTGTCGCGAGGGTCGGCCCCCATCTTGTTACAAACCCTCGTCGTCCCCCTTGTCGCGCCAGCTTTGTTGCAAACCCTTGTCGCACGGCATTCTGAGCACCCTGTAGCCTTGTCGCGCCAGCCCTGTCGCAAAAACCGGTCTTTTGTTGCAAACCCCACCCGGGGACGCAAGCCCTAACGTTTTGGGCCAAGCCATCTGTCAAACCCAAAGCAGTCTGCGAGGACGATGTCGATGTGTTCTGGCTCACAAAGCAGCTCAGCTTCTTGCACGCGCCATTGGCCATGACCGTTGGTGCCCGGCCTGCGGTATCAGATCTGAATTTTCGGGTCAGCCACTCAGCCTGTAAAACGTTACGTCACGCTAGCCTAGCTGGGCGCTACGCATGCTTGTGTGAGTGGTGGCTTGGCTCTTGTCAAACTTGAACCCAGAACGTTAAAGGCCCCTCGGCAGGCCTGACACGTAAAGCCAAGGCCGCAGGTTGCGTTGCTGGTGGTGACCTCAGCTTGCGGGACCGGAATGCTTCCAGGCTTCCGGGCTTTTGGGGGACAGGGCCGTACCCTGGGGCCGCTTTCCTGATTCAGGGACTTCTGGAGCCAACGTGCGTGCAAAACCTGCGCATGAATTCTGTCTCCCATCTTATCAAATGCTTCAATGCTTCATCAAAGCTCTTGTACCCGAAGCGCTGCGAACCTCCGTGCTCCCTGTGAGCTCCAGACGGATCAGCGGTGGCGATCTCGGGCATCTGCCCAGGCAGCTCCACCCTGGCTGTTGGTGGCCATTCGGTTCAGGGAGAATATAAACATTTCAGTAGGGGAGTGGGTTGAATTAATTAGTTTTCAATACTGGCGCTGGGAAGGCCAGCTGCGCCCGTGAAGACGTGCAGCCAAGAAGACCCTGACCGGCCTGTAGCGCTGTGGATCCCGCCGATAGGCCTTTTTAAAGATTCAGCCGGTTTCAGCAACGTCAAACATTCTGGGCAGTGTTCTTGGGAAGTCGTAGGTATGTTACGATGCGGTTGCGCCACGTGTAGTCCGTGCAGGGGGCTATCAGT